TTTTTGTTGTTTTTTTGTGCAAGCTTGCCCTTTGTTTTTGTGTGTTTGCAAAATAGCCATGGCCTCCTGTATTATGAGAAGTCATCCCATGAATGAACGCCTGAGTGACTCTTGCAAACAGCTGCATCCATCCTACAAAGCTTTGAGGGAACTGGGTGAAGTCCTTTACAACTTCATAAGACATGTTGGAAGCTCTGTGGATGATGTGTCAGGAACCCTTTCCCAGAAGAGTCGTTTTACGAGACCTACAAGCCTCGAGAGAAGGCCACTGGTCCAATTCCGCCTCCTCCCCTGCTGCTAGGTACGTCTGGGTTGCTGTTAAGGAACNNGGGTATATATAGAGTAAATAATAGGGTTTCCCCAATATAGTAACTGAATTTAAGTTCCTTAACAGCAACCCAGACTTCCTGCTACGTACTACTATTGCTCTTGTAAGTAGTGGCATTATTATTGGTACTAATCTTGCTACTGCTGTGCCACTGTGATGGTCTTCTTTCTGTTCCGCGACAGTAACTTGATGGTCTGGCTTGCGGCTATGACTGTCATGTCTGTTTGATCCCTAAACCCTAAACCCTAAAGCACTACGGTGATGGTGATGATTTCCATCCACAAGGTGCAGTCTGAGGCTTTGTTCTCACCGACGTCGATTCAGGTTTTAAAGGCAGTTACACAAAACCCCAAACCCTACCAGGTTTAGGGTATAGGGTTTAGGGTTTAGGGTATTCAAACGTGTGTGATTGCCTTGAGTTCTCAAGCCATGGAATGGATCACTCTGACATATCCTTCAAGATGATGTAGACCCGTGACTAGTAGGGGCCTCAAAAGTAGGATCCCTGCTGTAATCCCTAGTAACTGGAGGGGTTGTATTCATCATGGGTCTACATTCGCCTAGGGTCCTTGAAATAGGACACTTAGGGAGCTGCCAACAAGCTCGGAGACCATAGCTAATGCTAGGTTGTTAAGGAACAATTTCTTATAATAAGGGAAACCTATTCTTTATTATAGACCCAAATCATGGTGATTTAAACCCTTAACTGTAAACCCCCTGAAGCCCAAACCGTGAACTCTGGACCATAAACCCCAGACCCTAAACCCCGTTCCTTAAACCCTAAATACCAGCCGGATCTCCACAGTAGCCCACGTGCTGTTCAGGAAGGGCTTAGGGTTTGGGGTTTAGGGTTTGGGGTTTTGGGTTTGCGGCTTAGGGTTTGGGGTTTAGGGCTGGACAATCAGCCCCAAGGGCTACTTGAAGAGTCAGGGGGACATAAGAAGTTTAATGCTGAACCCCTTGGGTTTGGGGTTTCGCGTTTGGGGTTTAGACTTTTAGGGTTAAGGGTGTGACAGCCGTATGCCAGAAAGTAACCCAGTGCGAGGCTACTTGCTAAGTCCCCCTGACCCTCCAAGTAGCGCTTAATGGAAGGAAGCTTGGGTGAAAACCCTAAACCCTAAACCCTAAGCCCTAAGCCCTAAACAGGATTCTGCAGGCATGCTGTTCCTCTTAGGGACCCAGAGAACCCAATACAGCCTGATTAAAAACTATCTATGAGGATCCTCAGTAAGATGTAAGGATCTCTAAATTAGGGTTTAGGGTTATTGTGTTTAGGGCTTAAGGTTTAGGATTATTGGGTTCCTGGGTTTGGGATTGAAGCTTCCTAAGCCCTCAGCCCGAAATATTATTGGGTTGCTGTTAAGGAACTCAAATTAAGTTGCTATTTGGGGAAACCCTATTAAATATATGTATATATACTCATTATGGTAAATTAGTTTAAGTTCCTTTATAGCAACCCAGATAAGCCTCGCCGCAGATGGGCCTGAATGGGCAGCCTATGCCGACGGCCACAAGGGCCTGGTTTTACGCGCGACTCCCAGGGGAGTGGGAAGCTGCTATTGCAAAATCGTTGTGATACCTAAGCCATAAACCCTAATCCCCTTGAACCCTGCACCCTAAACCCCTTGAACCCTAAACCCTAAACCCCTTAAAAGTCTAAGCCTTGGCATAAATCCAACACTCCCATCAGCTGGAACCATCCCTTTTTCGGGAGCTTGAAGTTGCCGCGTCCCAAAATTGGGCGTCGTTTTTTTAGCGGTCCTCAGGATAATGATTATAGTGCCTTGGGGTTTAGGGTTTGTTGGGACCCCGCCGTGGTACGCAAGCTACCAAGTTAAGCTTAAGTATTCTATACACGTTGAACGAAATTCTTGGCCTTGATATCCACAGACAAGTGCCAATCTGCAAATCCAGGAAATGAGAGTGTCAACTTTCCCCGTAGACTTCGTCTTCTGCCACTGCCCACTTAATACCACTTCTTGGGACCATTTTTTTCGTTTTGAGTGCTGCTGCTGTAACCCTACTTCTTCTGCTTCCTGCTGCTGATGTTGCTACAGTACAAGAGCTGCTGTGGTTTTCGGAAACCCCCACAAACCCTTTTCCCCAATATCTATGAATTCATATTTTTTCTCAGGGCGGTGTTGACCTTAACTTGTAACTGAGAGTGGAGCGTGCCGAAGGCGTTAACGAACATCCGTATTCGCGAGCTCGCAGACGTGCCGGCTTCCTAAGATCCTGAGGTTTGTTTCGGAGTTTAAGCTTCAGAGCCAAGAGTTTAAGGTTGAAGGTTTAGGGTGTCATGTGGGTGTCTGATGTTTTGCTTGTGGCTGGAATTGTTGAATAATGTGCTCCGTAACGGGGCTCCTTACATGGGGAGCCCTAATTTAGCCTCCTTACGACCTCCCTAAGACCTCCCTAGAGCCTCCCTAAGGTCCCAAAAGGTCTCCTATCATGGGGCCCCCTTACATGCGGCCCCCTTATACCCTAAACGCTAAACCCTAAACCCTAAAGGGCTTTCATAATTCAAGTGAAGGGTGCCGCCGTCTGTGGACAGAAGTATCTGAAGCGGCTTCAGCAGTGACAACTTTAATTTCGGGGTTCTTTTGGGAATAATGGAAAAGAAAATGGAAACTACAGTAATATATCAAGGTTATACACGGGTTTTATAGGGTTACTTTTCCACGAGATCCTCCGACCCGTCCCTCCCCTGCTAAGTTGCCGTCACAAGCTATTGTGAATTTCTAGGATGCAGTTTTTTGTAGTCTACCAAACGGTACACAATCGTCACAACAGTAGGAATGAACAAAGGCTTAGAGCGCCCGCTGGCCTAGACCTTCACGAACTTGAAGCCGCAATTAGCCGAAGAACCAAGCCCTAAACCCGCCCTAAACCACCCTAAACCACCCTGAACCTTTCCCAACGCTACCTCAACCCTGAACGCTAAACCTGGCGTGGTTTCGAGGTCAAGCCGAGCGTTGGGCACCGTCGTTCGCAAGGGCGAAGTTTTCGAGGTGCCTTGGCACGTTTGGGCTCAGCAGGCTTAAGCCGGAGGGTTTTTCGGGTTTGGGGTGCGTTTATCTACTTATGGTGTTAACTGGAGAATGGCCAACCCATAAATCGCAATGATAGTCCCCAAAATCTATCCCTCAATTCCCTGCTTTGCATTATTGGGCTATTCTGCCATCATAGTGCCTTTCAACTGCAGGGTTTCTAAGCCCACAGCCCTGAACAGGACTTGTGGAAGTCGTTCAAGATGCGACTTTCAGAGTAAGTAGGCATGGGTGATCTGGCACGGAGCCATCGCTTGCCTCAACATGCTGTCTAGGGTCTAGGGTTTAGGAAGCAATTCGTCGTATATTAAGAGCATGGGGGAGGATAGCAAACACTGCTGATTGTTGGCTTGCCTCAATATCTTCCAACCCTGAATCCATCATCTCGTGCTTAAGAGATGGCACCCCAAATCTGCAGAGCTCAAATCCTTTGCCTTTGAGTCAGGAGCGGGCGTTGAAATCAATAATCAGATTCTGACATATTGTTTAGAGGGGTCGGATGCGGTAAAATGAAATCTAGGGGCTCAAGCCTCAAACTTTCCTTCTTTGCAGGATTCTCTTTCGTGTATGTTGTTGGCCCCGGTGGAGAGGTGAAATCAGGAAATCCTATGTCAGTGGATGATCAGTTTGTGGGTTACTTGGAGGCCCGTGGGACTTAGTTTCACTTATAACTGGGCTTATAACCCTACTTATAATTCCCCTAAATGGGCTTATAGGGGTTACCCCACTTATAAGTAGGGTTATAATCCCATTTATAAGTGGTTACTAAGTCCCATGGGCCTCCAAGTAGGCCTGCAGGATGTCTTCGGGTGCACTGGGCAGCTTCCCACTGTGATAGTGGGAGGCAGTTTCGACGACGAAGACGACAAAGCCTGAGTCACCCGCTGTGATAGTGGGAGGCGAGGGTTTCGACCACGAAGCCCCATTCAAAATCGGTGGATTCCTGAGCTCCTAACGCATTTGATATGCATTCTGGATTGCCAATCATGCCCCCAGGTATTTATCCGGATAAAATCCTGGGGAAACGGACTTGGAACACTACTCCTTGCGAATTTTAACCAACCCTCGGCCCTAAACCCTAAACCTTGCTCCTTGCAAATCTTCACTGTAACCAGACTTCTTTTCAGCACAATTTGGGCTCAAATTGGCCAGGCTAACGTGGCGCAATTTCTGCATGTTTTGTCTGTAAACCCTAAACCCTAAACCTTGGGTGGTGCCCCCACCCAGTAACAGT